AATTGAAACCCTAGATGACAAAAGTAAAAAGGCACACACAAATGAAGACATTTCTGAGCTCATCCAAAAAGTGGTTCATGAGTCACTTAAGACTCCTAGTATTCATGAGATGATTGCTCGACTTGTAATAGAAAAAACGGTGCCCAAAATTATTGAGGGACTTACGGCAGCTCGAGTGGAACCACAATCACAAATCTTAGCCAAAGCCGGTCACTCAAGTGAAGCGCAAGCAGATATCAGAGAAGTAAGCCAGGCTGGACCCTCAGCGGCTACTGAACCCTACAAAGTCGTAGTCAGTAAAAGAAGCCGCAGGAGGACCAAAGCAGCTAACAAGGTAGCTAGTAATTTAAATAACCTGATTGAGCCGACCAGTCATGCCTCTCCTGAAGATCCAGCCCAATTACGAAGTAAGCCACGGACAATGGCAGATATCGTAAAATCTCTGCCACTGAAGCCGGCAGAGATATCTAACTCTAAACCCACCTACGTCACAATTAGTGGGCCCGGTAAAAGTCCCGTGAAAATCATCAGTGGGCTGCCATCTCCTACTGAAATAGGAGTTAATGCCTCCATAGTACGTGCTACTAAGGGAGGCTCGGTCTTAGTTCGGATGGAAGATAGCTCCCAAGCGGCGAAAGTTATTGGGTGGCAGGGTCTACAAGAAGTAGGACTAGAGGCCAAGCTTGCACTTAAGAAACGACCTAGGCTTGAAATTAAAGGTGTGCCCAATTCATGGACTGCGGAGGCATTAATTACACTTTTACGGGCAAAGCTAATTGATAAATCGATCCCAGCTTCGCTCGTGAACGATGGACTTCGGCCTGTTTTCTCATCTACAGCAAGGAATGGAATAACTAAAAACTGGGTGCTGGAAGTGCACCCAACCCTACGATTCCATCTATTAGACATGGCATGCTTGAATGGAGGATGGTGGTCAATGACCTTTGAAGATAACCTCGACGCCCCCTGTTGTACCAAGTGTCAGGACTACGGGCACTCTAAGGCCACATGTCCATCAGATGCACTGGTCTGCATCTGGTGTGCAGGTACTGGTCATTTTCTCAAGGAGTGCCCCAAAAAACTAGCTCAGGCAGGGCCGACATGCATCAACTGTGTGAGGGCAAAGGCCCATCCCAGGCACACTAAGCATAAGGCGGGCAGTCATGATTGTCCTGTGCATTTAAATTGGTCACAAAAAATGACAATGAGGACTTTTTATGAGTAAGATCTCCATCCTTCAACTCAATATGGGTCGCCGGCGTCTAGTTGTGGAAGAGCTACGCGCCCTCTCACAAAGCTACAACATCATGGCAGTCCAGGAACCGAGTTGCTGGGGAAACAAGGTCACGGGGTTTGGTCTCACATCGAGGGTTATAGCCTTGAGCAGTGGAGAGAGGAGGCCCAGGGCTGCTATTGTGGTTAACAACCCCAACCTTGATGTGATGGATCTGAGGCAGTTTACCATGGCGGATTGTGTTGCTTGTCATATCAGATGGAACCATGTTGCCTTTACGCTGGTCTCATCATATTTACCGGACGGGGGCGATATTGACAAAGACATATCCGCCATGGAGATGATCATGGCTTGCACCAGGAACGTGATCATATGCTCAGATACCAACTCCTGGAATACGGTCTGGGGATGTAATCGAACTAATAGAAGGGGTGCTATGCTCGGTGAATTTATTGCCCGAAACCATCTAGTGGTTATGAACGATCCCTCTGCTACCCCGACGTTCTCTAGCGCTAGGGGGCAGAGCTGGATTGATGTTACATTAGTATCAACGGTGCTGGTAAACCGCATTATCGATTGGGTCCTCCGATCTGAGACGAGTTCCGACCACCAAGCAATAGCCTTTAGGCTGACGGAAAATACAGAAGTTTCCCTCGGGATAGAAAAAGGTTACCTTGCTCGAAAAGGAAATTGGAGTGCCTTCCGGTCATTGCTGGAGGGAAAACTGGTCGACGAAGACTGGGATGAGGCGGAAATGGAGCAAATAGATGATCTGGATTACCGAGTGTCCAGGATCACTGATGTCATCCGCGATACCGCTGAAGAATCCCTTCAGCACCGGAAGGCGAAAGCTCGACCTGTCCCATGGTGGACGCCTGCCTTAACCACAATGAAGAGAGAACTCTACAAGGCACGGCGTTCATACCAGAAGTGTACTTGAGAAGAGAGGCGCATTACACTTTGTGATGAGTACAAGTCTAAAGCCAGTTCATACCGAAACGAGGTGCGGTTAAGAAAGCCGAAGTCTTGGGACGAATTCATTGTTCAGGAGTCATCTAAAAATCCCTGAGGTGTACCTTACAGAGTGGCTCTTGGTAAGTTTGCTCCACAGCAAGTGATTGCAGCTTTGAAGAGCGGATGTTCCCAGGCAACCACTCTGGAAGAGACTGCAAAGATGTTCCTAGCTGAGACCTACCCCAGAGATGATTCGTCCCAGGATAATGAAGAGGAAATATTTATAAGAAGCACTACGGTATGCCCACCTGGTACGGACTTGTGCCCACCGTGGGACATATGGGATCTACGTGCTGCTGTGGATAGGCAAAAGACTGGACGTGCACCTGGATTAGACTCCATAGACGCAGCAATCCTCAGGAACAGTATTCCCTATATTGAAGAGAGACTGTTGACATTATTCAATGATTGTCTGGACAGGGGATACTTTCCTAAGAGTTGGAAAATTGCTGATGTTAGACTCCTCTACAAGGGAGGAGGCAAGGACAAGCAATTAGCCAAATCTTATAGGCCTATATGCCTCTTCCCTATCATGAGTAAATTATTGGAGACCCTGTTGATGATGAGTCTACGACCAGTTTTCTCTAGGGCTAGCCATCCAAGGCAGTACGGATCCACTAAAGGTAGGGGAATCGCAGATGCCCTGCTGAGAGTGCGCCATGACGTTGAAGAGAAGGCGGAGAAGTATGTCATGCTTATCCTGTTCGACATATCTTACGCCTTTGATAGCGTCTGGCTCCCAGCAACTTATATGATCTTTCAAGGAGCTACCTCCAGGACCGAACATTGAAGATAAAAGGTAGCTTCTTTGAAGTACAAGAGTCGATGGAAAGAGGTTGTCCGCAGGGCTCGGTTCTTGGACCAGCCCTGTGGAAATTAGTCTTCGATGAGTTGCTGGGGGTACTAGAACAGGAGCGGTTCCCCGCCACGGCCTATGTTGATGATCTGGCCGTTGTAGTGGCCTCAAACAGCAGAGCCAGGTTAAAAGAAGAAGCTGAACGATGTGCCAACCTCGTAGGAGGATGGTGCGAGAGAAAAAAGATGAAGATGGCGGCTGCTAAGACCCAGTCCATTCTTTTAAGAGGTAAGACTGACTGAGCCCACCCTATTACTCTCAGAATAGAAGGAGAAAGGATACGTCCAAGTGAGGATGTTACATACCTTGGCATAAGAATTGGGAGAAATTTCAACGTTATGCCTCACTTGGACTACATGAAAAGTAGGGTGGCCCTGGCTCTCAATGGACTTAGTCGCATCGGGGGCGCCTTTTGGGGTCTCAGGTAGCCAGCCACGTTGACTATTTATAAAGGAGGTATTCTGGCCATCCTGAGATATGCGTCCCCTGTGTGGAGTCATTATCTCTCGCACCAACAGAAGAAAAGGTTGGCAACAATCCAGCGGATGGCTCTGCTGCGGGTCACTAGAGCGTACCGTTCAGTGTCTCATGAGGCGGTACAAGTCTTAGCTGGAACTACTCCTATTGATCTTCTCCTACGAGAAGAATACTTCCGGCATAAGATGAAGAGGGAAGGACTGGTGGATCTACCGGCGAATCTTCGTGTGAGGATCAGTGAAGACCCTAATGGATGGAAGAGGATTCTTCGGGAGAACACATTAAAGGAATGGAACCAGCGGTGGATGACGACGCCAAAAGGGGCTACGCTAAGAAAATACTTCCCCACCGTTATTCAAGAATGGAAGACATGGGTTCTCCCGGACTACTGGGTCTCACAGTTCCTCACAGGGCATGGGAATTTCTGAGCAAAGCTCGTCAAATATGGCAAGAACATCGATCCCCTATGCCCAAGTTGCAGAGTGCCGGAGACCACCGAGCATATCATCCTAGTCTGTACCGCCTTTGAGGCACTGAGGGCTAAGTTGTTGAGGGAGACGGGGCTCTACGCTCTGACGGAGAGCGATCTCCCTCAACTTATGACAAAGGAAAAATACCCGTATTACAAGGCATTCGTATACGGGTGGAAGGAACTGGTTGGGTCAAACCACTTTTCATTGGGAAGAAGAAATGAACCTGTATACGGAAGACCGCCAGAGAGGGTGGAACAGGATGCTGAATAAGAAGAAAAAAAAGAGCAGGCTGTGTGCACAGCTGTAAAAAATGTAATTGGTCTGAATGCAGCAGTGAATTGTAACGCATGCGTTGCTACTCACTACTGCATAACACCCGTATTGCCTTATCGGCAGGGTAGGGTGTAAATAAAATAAAAATAAAACATATATTTAGGTAATTCGAGTATTAAATTGAAATATTTTTTTTCCAAATCCCCAATTTCAATAATCTTATGAAATATATATTCTAGCAGCTTTAGATTTTATCTGGAACAATGTTTCATTTTAAAGCTATTTTGAAGTTGCATTTTCATGCAGTCTTGAATTGCAACAATTTTAAAAGGCGTTAGGGCTCATCTAATTGTAATTTATTTCCACAAGACAACTTATAAAGCTCAATTTGTTAAGTTGTTCGAGTATGAAATTTAATCAAAATCTAACCCGTCAAAAATACAAACATGCTAGGCTAGCTTTGGTATTCTAAGAACAGTGTGATCAATTGATCTTAAAGCACCTGTCAAACCAATATGACACTTACATACCTTGACATTCTATTAATCTATTTCCCTTATACTTCAATGAAAAAACTGGTGCATCTTAAACTTTAGGGTGTCAAGTTCAATGTAATAAGATAATTAAATTTCTAAAAACATTTCTGATGCATAGTTAATAAAGTAACACATACCTGAGAGGACTCCATTTCTTCATCATCACTAAGTAAATCTAAAATGTTATATCCAGTTGAAGTGCTAGGACCAGGAATTTGAGAATGGATAGCTTCTTCATGGACAGTAGCAGCGATGTGATTTGCAGCTTCAGCAAGTGCTGGATGTAATTCCACAATCCTATAATAAAAGAAGATTGATTCATACAAAATGACAGTTCTGGATGTGACATTTTTAAAATACGAGGAATGAGTGACAAATATTACCAGTTTTATTACTTGGAGCATCAACTTACTCACTAGTCTTTATAATTCAGAGTAACACATACCTTCGTACTGTATCAAAGTTTGCTGACAACCGTACAATAAGTTCAGGATCCTGAATTAATGAAATGGCCACTGGATCTTGGCTTAAACCAGGAGTTATCGAGATAATATTTTCAAGGATATCAGGTCTGCTTAATTTCTGAAAAAAATATACACTATAGAATATAGAAAGTATCTCATCAAAACATATGGAATAATAAAGATTATAAAGTTATGAACAAGTAGTCAATTGCCTAAAACTGTGTTCATAATCCTACTTCAGAAAAATTAACTAACTTCAGTAATTTAAAAGAAACTACACTAACCTGTAATGAATGTCGGTGTGATGGATTCAGAGTTAAAGTTCTAAATGCAATAACTAAAGCTTTTATATCCTGCTCTGACATTGGCTGAGATGGAATTGGTATTTCTGTTTAAATTAAATTAACGTTTAATAATATAATTTCATATACCCATGAATTATAAAAAGAAAAAGAAAGATCAATTACCTTTAGGCTTTTTCTTCAAAACATGCAACATAACTCCTGGTTTAAGCCCACAAGCTGTAAGTGTCGAATCATCCTCCAAAATGTTTCCACAATAAACTAGTTCTAAACAATCAAAGAATGAATAACTAACAAATCATGGCACTTCTTTCGATAGAAAGTATAATACATATATTATTTCAATAAAGTTTACCAAGGCTATCTCTGTGGACATTAGTTTTCTCAGAAACATAATTCTTGAAAGTGTCAATTTTCGAATCGAAATCAACATCTTCTACATGAATTCTTTGAAATTCATTGAGATTGACTCTAATTCCCAAATGCAGGCCAGACATCCTAACTTTTTTCGAATCAATTCCAACTTAACACAACAAGCACAGTAGAACCAAATCCTTCAACTGACAAAGGTCTCTTCAGATACTTGTCATTGTTTATACCCTGTCTTAGAAAACAAAGAGAACACATGTCCATAGAAGTCTAGAACTTCTTGCACTAGATAATAGGTAGCAGCAGATGTTATCAATTATACAATATAAAATATATAATACTTTATAAAGTCAATAATTGCTAAAAAAAAAAAAAATATGAATATCCATTGTAAAAAAAAAATGTTAATACATATTCAATTCACTTAACTTGCCGATATTTACAAGAACGCTGGTGCATTTCAACCCATCCCCTTCCCAACAATTTTATTTTTCCTCAAAATATGTAGTTTATTTTAAATTTCACTTCATGTAAAATGTATTAATAGGATGTCTTAAGATGTATTTTGCCCTAGGGCAGTGGAAGGAATTTATTACATGTATATATTGTATTATTGTATAATATATGTAATTGTTTCAATAAACATTTTGGAGGTTAAGAAAAAAAAAAAAAAAAAAAAAAAACTTCATGTAAATCAAGTTGTTCATTTTAAGTGAATTTAATAATTTAATAACTCGGTTCTCGCAGATTATATATTTTTGGCGTTGCTATCTTTGATAGTGACGTGAGACCACTATTAACTTCTTCTGCTTGTTAAGCTTGCGCCCTTTAATACTGTTGGGGTCCATACTTATCCCTTGAGCCAAACCTCAGCAGTTACTCTCTCGATTGAGGGCAGCGTCGCGCTGACAAGCGGACTTCCTTTCTTCCTTCATTCGTGATGGCGAGCCAGAATCAGAACCTTCCTATGGAGATTCCAGAGCCTGAGGCCTCCGAAGATAAAAGTGGGAAGAGGATTCACGAAACTGACAGCGAAGGCCTTGGATCGGATAATGAAGGCTACGCCCCAGTAGCCAAAGCTACACGTTTCCCGCCCATACCGTCCCGGAAAAGCCTTCCCAGATCCCAATTGCCAACAAATTTTCCGTGTTGAGAGTGAATCTACCGCAGGAAAACAGACCGCCGCCAATCATCATAACACTTCCGATAGCCCAGGCAGCGCTGAAAAATATACTGATCGAGAATAATATAAAATTATTCTCCATCAATTCATCATCAAAAGAAACTCGGCTGTATGTCAACTCCGAGAATGATCACTTTCAACCCACTTTACTGTTGCGCCAGGACAATAGGGTACAATTCCACAGTTTTGCTTCCAGAGACACTAAGCGATCTCGAAAATATGTGCTTCACGGATTCGATATTGATTTTCCCGTTGAGGAGATAGTCGAGGAGTTAAAAACCAGATTACCAGGATTCAGGCTCGCCCGAAGACTCACAAAAAGATACAATCCGAATGAACCACCAAAATCTATCGAGCTGATCCAGATAATTACAGTCGACTCGGTCAAGCTGACAGACATTGCTAAACTGTATCACATATCGCAGTGTAAATTTCGTGTGAGCATCTTTAAAGAAGATGGGGCCCCAGCACAGTGCCGAAATTTTCAAGAATATGGACACACTATGAAATATTGTGGCCGAACATGTGCGTGCCCCTGGTGTGGAGGTGTCCATATCCTTGAACAGTGCCCGAAGAAAGTACCTCCCTGGTGTAAAAATTGTAAAGGTGATCACCCCACCTCCTTCAAAGAATGCTCGAAGAGACAGGAGTGGCGAGCCAGAATCAGAACCTTACTATGGAGATTCCAGAGCCTGAGGCCTCCGAAGATAAAAGTGGGAAGAGGATTCACGAAACTGACAGCGAAGGCCTTGGATCGGATAATGAAGGCTACGCCCCAGTAGCCAAAGCTACACGTTTCCCGCCCATACCGTCCCGGAAAAGCCTTCCCAGATCCCAATTGCCAACAAATTTTCCGTGTTGAATCGAATAGGGAATAGGGAAATCACCAAAGGAACACCGACGAAAACGAATACCAGCAAACAGAGTAAGTGGGTCCAGGAGGGCCTGGCATACAGCACAGCAAGCGGAGGAGCGCCAATCCAATCAGAAGGAACCTCTCCCCACCACCAGTCTCATCCCCACCACCAGCACGCCACCCAGTTCAGGGAACAAACTCCACCAACGCAATCGCCTCAGCCTTTAACAAGTACCGATGCCTCCCTGACTTCTCTAGTGATGACGATCCTGACAAGAATGGACAAGCTGATGGATATAGTTGCCCGCATGCTAGATGCTATGACAAAGAAGCATCATGATTAATCATCTCGTCATGAATTTCAACACCAGAAGCCTCTTCCAGAAGCAGGCTGAAATCGAGTTCCTTCTTCAGCAGCATAGACCTTCAGTGGTGGCGCTGATAGACACCATGCTTCACACCTCGACTCGTCCATACTTCCAGGGGTACACTATATAACGAAAGGTGTGTGCACCAATTTCCAGGGGTACACTTTATACCGAGAGGTGTGTGCACCAGGGTCTCGAGAGGGAATAGCCATCCTGGTCAGAAAGGATGTACCTTCGAGATCCGTCCCGAACCCAGTGGAACCAACCGAGGGAACTCACTTATTCACAGTTGACGTGCGACTTCAGAGTCGGTTCACATTCACCTGGGTCTATAGGAGACCCAGGGCTGGACTGACATCTGTTAAGCTGCTGCTACAACATGCCCGGGTGACTGGTCGGCATGTAGTCCTTGGGGACTTCAATGTTCGACACACTTCCTGGCTGTGTGGTCACTGAGGAAGTACATCACCAAGACTAGGTTGGCCGTCTTTCACCCAGGTGTACACACTTTCCGGCATTCAGCCCGACCTGATTGGACATCAACGCTGGAGCTGCTACTAACCAGGGATCTGCACACCATTACGGATTGCCAAGCGCTTCCGTATGGACCGTCGGATCACCGTCCTGTGCTTTACACGATCGAGGGCACATCGCCAAACTACCGGCGAGTAAATACTTACTCCACAAGGCCGACTGGAAAGGATAAGCTCTAGCGTTGAATCCACTTTATCGGCGGTAACGCCGTGCTAGACAGTAGAAGAGGTAAACGAGGCGATGGATGTCATCACCACTAATGTCCAGGACTCAGCCAACTAGAACATCCCTAAGTTCGCTCTGCAGCCCAACGCCATCAGGAGACCACCACGTCACATCCTCGCCCTGATCAATCAGAGGAACAACCTGAGGAACATCTTTCAGCGCACGCGTGACTACAGCTTGAAACCGGTCATCAATGCGATGACCCGGTAGATAGCCAGCCTCATGCGAGACTGGAAGACCTCACTCTGGCATGACCAGCTCCGGAGGACTCATGGTGACCACCGCCAGTTCTGGAGACTGGTCCGAACGTTCGTTAACAAGAAGAGGACTATCCACCTGACGTCGGGGAATGAGCTGCTGACACCTAAGGAACAGGCTGAACTCCTGGCCAAAAGCTATGAAGCGAGGAATGCTGAGCGGACGAGAAATGCACCACCAATACCGGAAGGACCACTGCCCAGTCCCGACGATGAACCCGTCTTCTCTACCTTCAACCAGCTGGTGTCGACACTACGCCGCACCAAAGGAAACAAAGCGTCTGGACTGGATGAGATTCCGTACGTACTGCTGAAGATGCTCTCTAGGAAGGGTAAAGCCTTTCTACTGAACATATTCAACTCATGTCTTCGAATCTCATACTTTCCTACCGCATGGAAACAAGCGATCGTTGTACCGTTCTCAAGCCGGCGAAGAACGGGGACTCAGCTGAGCACTATCGTCCGATCAGCCTCCTCTCGCACATCAGCAAGATTTTCGAGAGGCTGATCCACCATCAGCTTATGAAGCACAGCTGGAAAGAGAGCATCATACCACCAAAACAGACTGGTTTCCAGAGAGGGATCGCGTGTGAACACTCCCTAGCTAAACTTCAGGCCCATACAATAGATGAAATGAGTCTCAACAGAGCTACGGCGCTCATCTCTTTGGACTGCAGCCAGACCTTTGACTGCGTGTCACACACGCATCTACTTCGCCGTCTGGAAGAGTTCAGGTTTCCTACCACTCTATGCCGACTGATCCGAAGCTACCTCGTCGTACGAGTTGATACAGACTACTCAAACCCAGTCGATACCACCTGCGGAGTACCTCAAGGGTCTGTGTTGGGGCCAATACTGTTCGTCGTTTTCACGTCGCCAGTGGTGGCACTCAAGCATCCAAAGGCGGTGGTAGCAGCCAATGCGGACGACATTGGCATATATGCTTCCAGCATCAACGCGGAGACTGCACTCACTCTGGCACAGAATGCTTCAGCCACAATTGTTGAAGAACTAGAAGAGATCGGTATCAGAGTGAATCCTGCGAAGACTGATGCTATTGTCATGTCGTTTCAGAAGGGAAAGAAGCATCTACCCACACAATTCACCGTTGGAGGAGCTCATCATAAAATCTCTACCTCGATTGTCTACCTCGGCATCACGCTGGATAGACATTTAACCTTCTCCAATCACGTTAGGCAGAGGATCAAGCTGGCACGAAAGAAGTCACAACGGCTCTACCACCTACTGACGTCGCCGCAGCTCTCGTTGAGCCTCAAGCTCCAAATTTACAAAGCTATTATAAGACCTACACTGCTCCACGGGGCCTCTCTCCTACGATACCTATATAAATCCACGCTTACGAGTCTACAGAGCTTCCACAACGTGGTCTGGTCTCTGCGCAACCATAACCATAACCAAACCCATTAATGTGTATATATTGTAAATAATAAAAAATTAGCAGAACGGTCCTTCCCCGTTCAATGAAAGTCTCAAGGCCTTCTGCCACGTATGTTACCCTTAGCTATCCCCAATCCTTACAATGCCCTCAGGCAGTGGAAGGAATTTGTTACATATATATATTGTATTGTTATATATACTACAAATGTAAATTGTTTCAATAAACATTTTGGAGGGTAAGAAAAAAAAAAAAAAAAAACACTTCATGTAGTCAGTTCCATATTAACCTATTGTTCCCTGGTTTGAAATATCATTAATTTGAAACTCTTCAAAAAGATGTCATCGGCCTTATGAGGTGAGTGGCATTGGACGACCGAAATCGAGGTGGAGAGATGATGTCTCTAGTGGTGGGAAAATTTTGCTTAAAGTGCGGAATTTGATAGTGGCCGCGCAGGATTGAGAGAAATAGTGAAAACTTCAGAAAAAGGCTATGACTTACCAAGTGAGTGAGTCCTTCATTGACCAAGAAACGCTGACAGATCAAGATTAAGATGGATTGATAGAAATCTCTTTATTGATAGGAATCAGGAATGAGTATCATTCAATACAGTTCGCATTCAATACAGTGCGGCAGCATTCAGACAGAGTCAAGTGACGAAGGCTCATTCAGGATACCAAGATCCATACCGGGTGGTAGTACCACAGGGATTATCAGTCTTTCCACAGAATTATCAAGATTTCCACAGGGAGCATCACTCTAAAGCACAGGGGAAGGGATTTTCGGGCTGAAGCCCTCCCCCCAAAATAGTATAAATTTAACCATGTTTTATGGTAAAAAATATTTAAAAATTATGTCTTAAAGTATTATTGCTCGTTTAATTACATATAATAGGACTTCAAGAATCATTTAAATACCATATCATATTGATGGCTAGTATCTTTCTGCTTTTCCAAAGTACTTATCGTTATATATACGATAAAAAAACTTCCGGGCTGAAGCCCCCCTAAATTGAATCCTGGGTCCGCTAGTGCTCTAAAGAACTGCTAAATTAATTTAATTTAAACGCATCACACCACGAGTATATTGTAGCTGTCACTAATTTCATGACATTTATCTGGAGCACTAGCGGATTCAGGATTTAATTTTGGGGGGGGGCTTCAGCCCGAAAGATTTTTTTCAACAATAATTAATTTGAAAAAAAAGAAAGAAAGAAATTAAAGACCTATATAAAATGGTGTTAAAGTGGTTCTTGATGTCCTATTAAATGTAATTACACGAACAAGAATACTTTAAGAGATAGTTTTTAATATTTTTTTCTGTAAAATATAGTTATATTTTACCATTTTGGGGGGAATTGAAAATTCAGCTTTTCTAACACGTGTAAAATAGGATATTTTTTAATTAAGTTTTTTATTTGCTTATTATATTTTGATTTTATTGATACCATCAACACTGGCCTCAAAAGCCAAAGTAAAAGCTTTTTCTCGTAATAAAAAAAAGTAAATAACAATGGGAACTTGAATAAAGTAGTGATTGAGTGCAATTTAAAAAAAAAAAACTTTTCTGAAGTTATTGGAAAAATTATTTTCTTTTCGTTAGTGATAAATAGATTAGTTGCCTAAGATATTTCACTAATTCAATCAGTAAAATATTGATTTTTAACGTTGTATGAGCCTTGAACAAATCCGACCATTGAATAATATTTGAATTACAACGAAAATTGTTTGACATTATTATTATTATTTTCACTCACATCCTATATTATTGGTACGATTTCTTTTTAAAATCATGAACATCTATTCCAAATGATGCACTGCGTGAAAAAATAAATTACTTATTCCTATTTTCATGCCATAATAATATAGTAATTTTGAAAAACTACTAAAATAAACAGAAAAAAAAATGTTTTGTTGGTCCATACCTTTTTATCACAGCCTAATCAATATCGAAACATGACAGATTAAAATTGAAATTAAAAGTGTCTACAAAAATTAATTTATTACCTGTATTTGTATTTATATATGATGCATTTAAATTTTTTAGATCAGCGTATTGTAACTTTTCTTGAATATGTGATTTAATTTAAGTGTATAAACGACTGTTTGCTATTTAATAGTCTAAACAAGATCAGTTATTTATTTATCTTTATAGAACCTAAATGTTTTCACCAATTGTAATAAAAAAGCTGTCTAGACTATTGAATAACGTAAAATACATAATCCCTCTTCTTTCACACTATAGCAAGATTTTCACTATTTGTTGCCGTATTAATTTTCCCTTTATTAGTTGACTACCCCATTAATTCTCTTAAAATAAGTTCACAGGTCAAGATGGGTTGTAATAAAAACAACCATCTCATTTGTTTCAATAATTTAGTTTGCTGAAGCCATCTTATTCTGAGAAAAAAAAAATGTATTCATCTCTTTTATCACCGGTTAACCGTTAAGTCGGTTAAACGGGGTTCTGTAGATATCGTATAGCAAATTTAGTTCTGATTATCGTGGTATCAAAACTATGTTTCTGTTACTTACAGTATTGCCATTGTAATCTTACTTCCTAGACTTGGGAGTTTTCTAGGGAGTATGAAACCAGAGAGTATGGATTTGCCCTTTGATGTGCACAGACGTTTAGTCAGCTTTTGAAATTGAGTGAATTCAAAATAATTTCAAACAAATTACTATCAAAGTTCACCTACAATCAGTGCCTAAAGTTTGATTAAAACTTACTTCTGTTAATACGAAAACTAATGCTCTAGGAAGTGACGTTGTAAAAAAAATACCCAAGGCTACTAAGGAAATACCAATTTGAAATAAGAAACGTTTGAATTTTGAGGAGCAAAATAAAGTTTACTTATCATACAAATTATCTTAAGTACCTTCAGGGTTACTTTATAGAGTGAATAAAATATAAAATACATTATGAAATATTCCATTTTTACACATCCTCATGGCAATAAAATTTATTAATAAATAATTAATACGTAGGTTTATGGAAATTTATGTACTTTTATATATGTTATGTTAAACTTGTTCCATACCTTAAATAAACTTCATTTTTCTGCTTGACCCAATAACTTAAAAAAAAAAAAAATTTTAATATATATGACTTGAGCTAATAGACAAATCACTGATCTAATTTTACTAAAAATACACAATGGTTGTACGACTTTTCAAGGAGCATTGGTACGAGGATGTAGGAAAATAAAAAAAAAAAAATTTATTATTGACAAAAATCAGCACTGGTTTCGAATCAAGTAGAAGCATGATGGTTTCCGGGTGAAGATAGGCGTATGAAATTCCAGAAGAATTAGGGAATAGGTATTGTAGGCGGAAAGAGGCGGCATTCATTGGATAATCAAACTTTACCGTCCTTTAGAGGTTGCTAGCTCTCATTGATTTGAAATTTCTTCTATCGGTATAGTAATTGTTTTACTTATTAGAAACAAACCGCGTCTATTTTATCCGTTTATCCCAGAAAGAAAACTTGAATTTAAAAAAAAAAATCTTCTTGCAGGTCGCGTGCAGTGCCTCAGACATTCGGCACCTCCGGGCAATGAAATCTTCCACACCCAAAAAATAAATTACTTCTTAAGTTCTTGAATTTTATTTTATTCAACATTTCTCTAATACAGTTTCTTTATTGATGAAATGAATTATTTTAATAGATTTTGTAATTTTTTTTTATTTCTAACAAGTGGCGAGAGCTCCTGAAGATCGGCCGGCGCCCTCAACAGGGAACTGGCCACGTGCCACCTATTAGAGTCTTTGCTAAAGGTTGCGTAAACTGAAACCAATTCCTCGATCATTAACTGATGTTAAGCAAGAATTAAGATTGAAGAAACAGGAATAGAATGGAAGAATGAAGACGGCCAATAATTTACTGCTTAGGCACAGGCGGATCTACGGGGGGGGGGGAGAGGAGGTGAGGGAGGGGGCTTTCGGGCTGAAGCTCCCCCAAAATGGTAAAATATAACTAAGTCCCAAATCTTACGAAAAAAATAATCTCTAAAAGTATTATTGAATACTTTTTTATTTTATTTTTTATTTGTATTCGCCTCTACCCTAGAGGGTCATTGTAAAAGAATAGTAATTCCTAAAGAAATGAGAGGGGAAAAACAAGATGAAAGAAAAAATTAGCGGAAGAAAACAAAACAAAAAGACAAATAATCCGAAATCATTATCAGTTTTCCCCATTTCATTACAGCACCGTTTGGCTGCCGAAATATTTTATGCATCTAGTTCTTATCATAATTTGACAAATAACATTTGTGAAGCATTTATTATTTTTCTTCCTCTCATAGGTAAAAATATGCAGTAGAACTCTTTCTATCCGGAATCATGAGTACACCCAAATTCCACACAACTAGATATTCCAGATACCATGTTTTATATAAAACATTTTTGATATTTATCAGTTACAGTTACAAAAATTGTTGGTTCGACACTTACTTCTAAACTCTGGATAAATAATAAATAAATAATAATAAATAAAACTCTGGATTTTTTGACGATTAAGAGCTACAAAACGATTTATAAAATCATATTTCATGTTTGAATACCTATGAAAAAAAAGATGAAGATTTAAAAAAAAAAATAAAACCAATTCCTATTGAATACTTACTAGTTGGCCGTTGTATTATTAAGGAAGGAGATGGTCAGAGGTGGCGGTCATAAATAGACTAAATAGTTTTGCCACTATTTATGACAGCCACCCCCGACCATCTTCTTCCTTAAAAGTATTATTGTTCGTGAAATTACATTTAATATGACTTCAAGAATCACTTAAACATCATTTCTAATAGGTAGTTATTTTCTTTCTTTTTCTTCCAAAATAATTTCCATTATCTATAATATATATATATATATATATATATATATATATATATAAAATCTTTTGGACTGAAGTCTCCCCAAAAATTTAATTCCTGAATCCGTAAGAGGACTAAGGTGGTATATGTTTGATTTAAATTTTTCCGCGACGTCATTTTGTCGCAGGTCACAATATAAAGATAGCGCCACCAAAGAACACCACTAGCTTTGCGACACCAATAATAAGCACAGATCTGGTATGCCTTAGCTAACCATAGAAGTACCTTTTGTTTATAAATGATTCTGTTTACCAACCTCACATTTCTTAAATCAATTTGTCAAACTCACTTTTCCCTTATCTGAGGTATTTCTTGTTCCTTAAGTGTTGGAAAAATTTTACTTACACAATTTAAGAACTACAAATAAATATATACTGTTTCTTTGCCTTTCATTTTCATTTATCGAAGAGTTTACTCCATTACAATTCAAAATGGCTCCTTAATATCTGCTGTTTTAGTTGTTAGGTATTTCTAGGTTACTTTGTTTTATTCAAAATATGTTATTGTGTTATGTTAATACGATCCATACTTATAAGTTTAAGGAGTACTGTTATCTATGTGAAAATGGCGTTTCTAAGTGACGGTATGAAAGTGTTGAAAAAGCACTACAATTGTTGGTTGCACCCAAAAAAGATCAAATGATCGCTTCTTGTAAATAAATAACCAGCCAATCATGGCATCTACAATTAGAAGGCCAGTATATGGGAAAAAACCTCCGTGTTCCTATACTGGAAGATTAGAGGAAAGAATTATTAAAGCCTGTGCTACAAAACTAGAGAAGTCGAGGAAGCCAGAAAAGCCAGAAGATTTCATTTGTTATGATGACTCTGATGATGAAGAAGACTCTCCTGTTTTGCAGCAGAGGGCATTAAAAACTTCTTTTAACGTGGTTGATTACATTCGTAGTAGAGAATATGGTTTAAAAGAACTGAGAACGTTTAACAGAGATTATGGTTCAAGACATATACTAGCACATGATATGTTTCGGGAACACCCGATTGCATTGAACAATATGAATAAAGTGTTTTGTTCACAGTGGTTAAGCGATCGACAAGTTGTATTTGGTACCAAGTGTAATAAGGTATTTATGTGTATGAGGTATTTATAATAGTAGTTAAATAATTTAATTTACATTGCTAATAGTCAATACTCTTTTCTATTCAAACTTAGCTTATGGTATATGATGTTGCAACAGAAAAAATCGATCAAATACCTTGTTTGTATGGAAAGCGAGATCCATCTCTAGAAATTCCTCCGGGTGAGGCCTCAAGTGGTATTCATGCTCTCCAAATCAATCCATCAAGAACACTTCTTGCATCTGGAGCGAAGAATTCTAATGAAATAGCAATTTATAGGCTACCTACACTAGACCCAGTGTGTGTTGGACAGGTAATCGTTTATCTTACTGTTTATGGTAATATTTTATTGAATTAGTTATGTATAATTTACTCATTATTTTATCATCAGTAATTCAATGATTAAAGAATTTTGTAGTCAGCCGAAAATATAGCTTATTTCAATTTATTTGTTTGTGATACCACTGTACCAATGTAACTCCACCTTGTCCAGTGGGCCAAGATCGCTTGCCATAATATAAATAATTTTCTGAGAAAAGTGGAAGATTGTCAACTTGTTTGTAGTATAACCTCCCTTTATTTAAATTTTGATTAAAACTACCTACTGGTACTGTTCACTAAAATTGGGGCATTATTTAGTTTAAATTAATAACAGTTATACGCTGATGATGTTCACCTGGTAACAAGGACGTTTCCTACACTTAGTAGGGCATTAGGAGAGTTGGAACAGGAGGCCAATAAAAGAGCACTCCATATCATTGAAATAAAAATGGAGTATAGGAAAAGCACACAAAACCCGCAGCCAAGGCTACAAGTACTCACAGTTTCTCAGTTTGTCCTCACACCAACACCTTGGATCTCTGGTCAACAAAAAAATATGCTTTGTAAAGAAATTGAGGTCAAAAAAGCAGTTGGAAATTGTTACTACTTTTCCATTAGTTAGGCATTAAAGTTCAAAGATCTTTCATGGAGTGCCAAGGTGATTATTTATAAAACCATTATAGGCCTAGTAGTAATCTATAGAAGTGAGACATGGAACCTAACATAGGAGATGGAAAGGTGACTAAGCTTGCGGGAATGAGGAGTACCCACAAAAATTCACGGACCAGTCTGCTCTCAAGGAGAGTGGAGAATTAGAAAGAATTATGAATTGAGAGCCTTGTATGGCCAGCCTGATATAGTGCCCATAATTAAATAGGGAAGGTTGAGGTGGCTTGCAAATGTGGAACATATTGGGGACAATCACCTCCCAAAACAGGTAATTTACGGGAAGCCAGGAGGTGCCCGAAGATGTGGACGTCCTAGGATAAGGTGGTTGGATGACGTTGAGGCTGACCTATGGTAGTTGGGAGTTGGAGAATAAAAAACCTAGCACCTAATACATCCTTTTCAGTGGAGGTCTGGTCCTTACCTAGGGGGTTCAGTCTTTCTGTCTACTTTCGAACACGCTCAGTCATTCTCCATATTCCATTTAGCATCGTGATCGTAAGATCTTGATCCACTGGACAAGGTAGAGTGTCATTTGTATAGGGCTATAAGTTTTGGCGTATTCATGGATGTAAATTCCCTGTATTAAGATCGCATGTATGACTCATGAACTTCCAATTAGTCCTTTTCAGTTCAAATCGGGGTATTAATTACCTTTAATTACATTCTCTAGGCTTGCTCTAAAGGAATAAACAAACCTCCAATGGGTTTTTTTTAGTTGAGGTAGAGTGTTACCAAATAGTTTAGTCACCTCCGTATACTTTTGGATACACTCAGCACAGGCATTCTCGGAATTATATTTATTGTGTGCTTATGAAATCTAGTGTCCACCCATCTTAGTGGAGCAACACTTGTTATTTAAATGGATTATAGAAACCATAAGCATTGTATTTCACAGTTTTTTATTTGAATTTGAATTTTGTATCACAATTATTATTAATAATTTAAACTGTCAATATTAATTTAAATTCTGTAGGGTGCTCATAGAGACTGGATTCTCGACATCTGCTGGTTGGATGATGAATTTCTAGTCTCTGGCTCAAGGGATACAAAACTCGCTCTTTGGCACTTTGAGGAACAAGAAATTTCTTCTGATGAAGACAATATGCCTTCATATGGGACTACTGTTCCTCTAGAATCAAGAGATTGCAAATATGCACAGAAAGTTAGAGCTCTTGCCTTCAATGATAAAAAGAGAGAGCTTGCTACACTATCACTCAATGGTTATATTCATATTTGGGATGTTGAAAGATTCAGACAAGTGAGTATTTAATGTTTATAGCTATTATAGTTTAGTTTAAATTAGCCAATTGGTTTATTTTTATGCAAAAACTGAGTAGCTTTAATACCTAATATCTTTATTTTTATTTTATTTTATTTATAACAATGGCGGGGCTCCTCAACCTCTCAAGGGTCGTTTTAGCCTTTACAAAATTGTACCTAATATCTATTACATTGTCATCATCATTGTTGTTAATTTTTAAATAATATTAATTTAAGTAAAACATTTTGTATGATTATGAAAGCTATCATTTGGCATTCACTTAGGTATTTATCAGCTTGTATATCATGGTAATTGTATGTGACATCTACTTTCATTATTTATTTGATCTAATCTAATATCTTTTTTTCATCCTACTTATCTTAAATATTAACACTTTTGGATTTATTGATTACATTTATTAGTATAATTCAAAATTTTGCGATTTGGCGAATCTTTCCATTCAATCTCAAAATTGCATGTTCTACTCTCAAAAATCAGTATGATGTTTGTCATAAGATAGCAAATAATCCAATATAATATATTAGGACCTTGAATAAGTTCTCGCTGTTTCCTGATAGATGACATCACCGGTTCTATATGTATTCTATTTCAGATGGTAACATAATTCTCTCAGGACCACAGTTGGAAAGCTTTGACTTCAGTATATGTTAGTTCGACATAGTGTATGTTAGTTCTAGAAATGTTGAGTCTTCTGCCGAGTAAAGGTTATTTGTAGGGAATTTTATTGTTCTATTTTATTCAAAAGAAATCTGCAGCTGAAGCACCCAGAATTCTTGATGAGACTTACGGCAAGCCTGGTCTGTCTGAAACGACATGTAGATGGTTTCAGTACTTAAAAATAATGATTTTGATCTTGGAAATAAAGAATTCTCTGGTGCACCGAAAAAGAACTGGAGAAATTACTTAATGGAGACCCTTCTCTGAAGCTAGCTGGACTAGGAAAACCATTACTAGTTAATGACATCCAGTGGTGTTTCCTAATGTTTGAAAGCATTAGAAATGATCCAGAAGCCAGGACATCAAACAATGTTTTCTCACATGAGAATTGTTGCTTCAATGACAGAAAAGGAAATATTTTTTGAACAGTATTGTGACATGGTGAAAATGGATGCAGTATAATAATCCTATGCTTAAATAATAATAAGCTAAGCCCAGCCTCATTTCAAGCTCCTCTGCATTTGGTGGAATCAGCATGGTATACTGTATTATAAACTACTCAAACCAAACAAAACTATCACAGGATATTGTAGTCGAATACAATTGATGAGTTTGAGCCTGGCCCTAATAGTCCAGTAAAGTTAGGGAAAAAATAGCCTTACCCCAACAATCAAAAAATAAAGGTGAAACTTGTCAGGAATTGTTTATTACCTTCCCTATAATAATTAGTAAAAAGTCACAAAGAATCCTACATCGGGTTTTGATGGTTGGAGGGGAGGGGAGGAAGGACGGTAAAATGATATTTTTTTTAAGAATATCTCAAAAACTGTGAGATTGTTCAGTATAATATTAAAGTACTCTAAAATTCTATAAAAATGATTCTATACATTTTTTTGATAAAATCAATGGTTACGGAGGTATCTTCAGTCCAGTTGGAAGGAAATAGAAAAAATCATGAAGAATCCTTGATTTTATGAAACACTTCATAAAATCAAGGATTCTTCACGATTTTTTCTATTACCTCCCAACTGGACTGAAGATACCACACTTTCAAAAAAACTTGTTTGATGAACTTTAAGTCTATGTTAATTTAGTTGTGGTTTGTTACAGAGTAAATTGGATTTATTCTTAATTGTGTTAAAAGATGTAAAAATATTGGGGTTGATTCCTAATTTTACCGTGCTAATGATATTTTTAATCAATTAAAGAAAATGTGAACTTAACTTAATTAATATAGACTTAAAGATCATCTAATGAGGAAGTTTTTTCCCGAAAGTGTGGTATCTTCAGTCCAGTTTAGAGTTCATAAAAAAAATCACAAAGAATCCTTGATTTTATGAAACACCGAACTTACCATAGTTCAACTGCTTAAAAGTCCTCTTTAAATGGTTTTAAAATAGACAAGATTTACTTGTATTTAATGTAGATTTAATCTATTTTACTATGAAGTAATTGGTTGTAACTTAAATTAAACATTTTTTTAATTATTACTTTTTATTCAACATGAAACTTGGTTGGCTTAAAAGTTACAAAATTTAAGTTTTCTGGTTCTCTATATGTAATCAGACCATGTTTTATAGTAAATTTTTATAAGTTTTACTGTATTCCATCACATATTATCCGTTTTATGAAATTAATGTCAATCTAAACTTGAACAACATCAATTTTGTGATTTGAAGCTATTTTTGCTTAAAGTGGAAATACAGTAAATATTATTTCATAAATATTTCTGTAACCATTGATTTTATAAAAAAAAATGTATAGGTTCATTTTTATTGAAATTTTAAAGTACTTAAATATTATATTGAACAATCTTTGCAAAAATCCTCATAGTTTATGAGGTATTCTTAAAAAAATGTCATTTTTCTGTCCTGATCTCCCTCCCCCCATCAAAATCTGACACGGGATTCTTTGAGACTTTTTACCAGTTATTACGGAGAGGGTAATAAACAATTTCCGACAAGTTTTATCTTTATTATTTGAATGTTGGGATCAATCCTGAATTTTACTGGACTATAAAGGAAATACAAGCAGAGATGCGACAAGGTGATACCATGACATGACAATGCTTGGCGGGATGTTGCAAAACTGATAAAAGCCTATCTGAAAACGCTTATATGGGAACTCCTGCCTTATTCACCAGATATAGCCCAATCCCATTATCACTTATTTCGTGCGAGGGGACATTGCCTAATGGTGCCGGAAAGATGGGAGGAAGTAGTGGCAAGTGATCGACAATACTTGGAGTGACATGTTTTTCACCAGTTACTTTTAATAAATAAATACAGGTTCTATTCTCAGCAAAAGAGACTGATCTGGCCCTCTCAAACTAAAGTTCAAAGAAAGCTTTAGGAAACCTTGGAAACTTTAAGAGATTATTTAAGAGACTATTGGATTCTTCATTTTAGTTCCTGACCTGGCCATCTAAGGAAAGAATTCAGAAGAAGAAGAATAAAGCATTAATATTCGCAACAAAAAAACAGAACTTATTCAAGGTCCTAATATTTATCAATATTTTATTGTTGTTTTATACTATTGTTCCAGAAACTTTCTCGGAAGTTGCCTTCGTGTCAAGATAATGTTTGTATGGCTGTACAAGAAAACGGTGCTCTATATGCCATTGGTTGTAAATCATATACTCTTCTTCTTGATTCGAGAACATTGCAAGCTGTAAAAAAGATTCCTTCCCGTTATTCTGGTTGTGGTAGGTATTATATTTATTTTTGTTAATTTTCTTCAGTCTGTTGATTTTTTATTATTTATTACATTTTATTAAGATATATATCATGGATTTATTACAAAATGTTATTAAGTAATGTTTCATGGCCTTAAATCAATAAGATGTTTGATGAAGTTTTTTTTGTGAAACATTGTGGGAACTAACTAAAAGAGGCTACAGTTAGTGGGTCACTGATTTCAACCAAAATTTTTTTGTTGATACTAGATCGAAAAATATTGGACACATTTCCTGTCATTCGTTCGCCCTAGGACTCAAGAAAATTTATGTTTTTATTTTTCCTTATGCTTTGTCTGGATTTTTAGGTTACAATATATCGATCAATTTTATTTTTTATGCCGAATAAGAAAAAAATATTGACTATTTTATTAAATGAGTTATAATGCATCATAAATTTCAAATAGGGAGAAACAAAGTTAATATTCGTTTTTCGCAACTCAAAAAATCCTTGAATACAAATTCCTATAGCAATCAAAAAATTAAAATCTGCACGAAATTCTGTCTTGGCTGGACCCTTCGAAATTTTGTTGACAACCCGAAAATTGTGATATGGCTCACCACAAAAAATATTAGTGATTTAGGCCTCTGCATGTTACAGGAAATTGTATAAATCCTACCTTTGTAAACAAATAAAAACCAAAAATATAAAATTAAAATGGGTTAGAAGTTTTTTTTTTAATTTAAAGTTTAAATAGGAATGAAATCCAAAAGTTATTGATGTCGGTTGGAGACCCAGTAATCCAGCTTTTCAACGGTTATATTAAAGTTGAATTTGAAGAAAATCCTGAAGAGTTACAAATGCTTTAGTTAAAAAAAAAAAAAAAAATACAAGAAAATCAAATACTATAAGAATTTATGTAAGAATTAATATTTAATAGTTTTAAAAAGCCCTAAAAATGAATCTAACTTGCTTTTTCATAACTAAAATTTACTTGGCCTTACTTTACTGCAAATAACTTTTGATTTTTGTAATTTATGATGCGTTATAACACATTTAATACTGTAGTCAATGTTTTTTTCTTGCTATGCACAACAAAATGAAATCAGTTGATATATGTATTCTTATCTAGAAATCCGGGCAAAGCAAAAACAAAAATAAAGAACATAAATTTTGTTTGAAATTATATAAAATCTTTTTTTTCTTGGTTCCTAGAGTCCATTGTTACGAATGCCATGATATTAGTCCAATATTTTTTGATTTATTATCAAAAAACAAAAAAACACTTTGGTTGAAATCAGTGACCCACTGACTGTAGCCTCCTTTTGTTAGTGTAACTCTTTACCGTTTTTGTGTATCTGTAAATGTGGTTAAACTTCACAAAAACAAACTTTAAAGTTAACCTATATCAAAAATGTACTTAGTGACTTTTTGCAATGAACTGACAATATGTATTATTTTCATTATTATGAGATTTAACAAGCAATTAAAATATTTTAGCCATCAATTGATAAAGTTTTATATATTTTTTTTTTCTTGTGAACTACTCAATTTAATATGTGCTTGTTTTAGGTGAAAATTTTCTATTATTATAAAATAAGGCTGTGTTTATTTCTTCACCATATTTATTTCAAATCATATAGCTACGTTTTGGCTGGTAAGCCATTTTAGCCAACCATGCTTTTTGCATGTAGTCCAATAATTTAATGTGACTTTAGACTACATGCAAAAAGCATGGTTGGATAAAATGGCTTACCAGCCAAAACGTAGCTATATGATTTGAAATAAATATGGTGAAGAAATAAACACAGCCTCATTTTATAATACTCAATTTAAAAATTTTAGAGTCCTATGAATAAAAAAATAAATGTTTTGTCATTTTTATCCCTGATATTTAAAAATAAGGGGTTCAGCAATGATTAGTTCAGTCAAGAAAAATTCACCTGGTGGTAAAGATAGATATTCAAAGTACACTCTGTTGCATAAAAATAGTGTGAGTAAATCATAATGAATCTATATTCATTTTTGTTCACAAAAATATTAAAATAAATTTTGGAAAAAAAAAATGCCTTAGTTTTTCTGAACTTTCTAATCACATATCAGAAGTAAATTGCCATAGTCCTGCTAAAAAAGATCAAACCAACAATTTTTAGTTTTTGAGGTGTCTATGCATTAATCTAGATTTTTATATGTCTTATGCAATGCCAATGAGATCCTAGTTGTCTGTATGCTTTTTGTATGTGAACATGCAGAAGTTTTTTCTAGCAAATCATGATTAAATACAATTACTTTTTGCAAAGCAAATTTTACCAAAAGAATGGTATCCAGCTCCTTGTAGATCACTCAAAAGAGAAAATGCTGTTGGCATCATGTTAAGAAATTCAAAGATGATGAAAGCCCTTTGTTCTTGTTTATCATTTCCTGTTAACCTGAAACTTCACATTTTTAATAAATTTTTATGAGTTACGTTTTTTTTTTTTTTTTTGTCATGACAACACTGATATGTCCGATGTATGTAGGTTTATTGCATTAAAACTGCCTTTTTTATTGACAGTTATCTGTTTTGTTATGGTCTTGAGGAAATGTGAAATTCCATTAAGTTTTACCAGGTTCTTATGTGTCATTGTTTAAAAATATAAACATTAATGGCATGGACTCGTGAAGAAGGCACATAGTGCTCCTTGCTGTGTCAGTTATTCCTCTCTTCTTTATCCTGAACAATCCTTCTAAAGAAAGACCTCTGGTTTAGTTAAAAAAACTATATCTTCAAGATCTACCAAGATTGTGGCCAGAGAAAGCTCTAATATTTAAAGTAAATGCTCTAGTTTATTTCAAAAGAGACCAAAGTCTTTTTTTGGAGACTTTAGTAAAACAGATGATGTGAACAGATTTTCTGACCAGACAAATTTCATTTTAGAAAATGAAGCAATACTAAACAAGCAGGCTGACCTAATTCAAAATAAATTCATAGTACTGAAAACTGAATGGAATACATATATTTTATTTCAGTTTCATTTATTATACATTTGTGTTATAATGTTCTAAGTAATTTACGGTTCTGAAAAAAAGACACACTTATAAAATCTACAATAATTTCAATCCAAAATGTCAAGACTGATAACAGCAGCTCTCTGGTACATTAACAACAAAACTTTACATATTGACTTACAACAACCATCAGCCAATACATACATACTTACTTTCTACTCCCAATTTCATATTAAACTATGCAGACATCACAACGGACTTATTAATGAACTGGCCACAGCTGACATGCCCATCAGGAGGCGACTGAATAGGAGCTGGATGAGAGATCTCCTTTCTTGAATTAAGAAAGTAAACAAAGACCAGGAAGACGTCCTGCTGGGTACTATTTTTTCTCATTCCTAAAATACCATTTTTCTTAGCAATAGTAGCACATCGTGTTATTGTCAATCTTCTGACAGGTGTGGATGACGATATGAAAAAAAAAAAAAAAAATGTTTTAAGTAAAGCTTCTTTCTTCTTGCCATTATTTGTATTTTTGTCCTTGTAACAAATTATTACGGAACAAAACAAATACTTTTGTTGATGATATTTCTATAATTAAATTTAAAATATATATCTCTTGATTAAAAATATATTGAAATAATAATTTTGAAGTTGTTTATTCCATGATACTGATAAAAAATTCTGAAACTTTTGTAAAAAAAAAAAAGACCCATGATTTTATTCTATTCACTGCCAACTATTTTAAAATAACTTCTGCATGAACTATAGGAAATGGTATATCTTTCTGCTAAAAGTCAAAAAAAAAAATGCTAACAAGTGATTTAAAAAAATTAGAACAAATGAAGATTGAAATTTCCACTTATCTCAAAAATTAGTGTCAAAAACTCTTCCCTCATTTGGAAATTAATTTGTGATCACACTGTAGTATAATTAAATATTTCATAACTTCAGAAATTTTCGTATCACATTGATTTTTTTACAAAATGTTCTGAAGAACCATCTGATTAAATTAAAATTTCAGCATAAAAATAATGGTTTATGATTTTCAGGAATAAGATCTGCCAGCTTCCAGTCTAACATATTAACAATTGGAACTGGAGTTGGTATGATTATGTTTTACGATCTAAAAGCTGGAAAGTATCTTGAGTCAAGCATAAATTCAAGTCGAACAGTAATCCTGAAATCATCCCGAGGTTATGTAGTACGTAAAACCATTTTATTTAATTGAATTATTTTAAAAAAATTGTTGATTGTAGCAAATTGAAATATTTATACTAGGTATATCATATTGCATAATTAGGAAACATGCCTAGTTCGTAGAAGGTATTAATTAATATCTAATTTCATGGGTTATGAAAGTTTGAGAATTGTGATGTATTAACATATTAAATAAAAATACAATTTGTGAATTGTAAAAAAAAAAAAAAAAATATGGCAGCCTCCTTTATTACTGTCTAGATTTAATATATTATAAAAAGCATTATGCTTTGGAATACTTCAAGCTTGGCCTAATTATCTGCGATCTCTTTATTTACTCCAATTTTTCAATTACCTCCTTTATTTATAATAGGACATCACATAAATTAAAAAAGGAAAACCCTGGTTGCAATAGGATATGCATCCTAAGGATCCTGCATGCATGAAGAAAAAGTTGTGTGAATTAGGGTTGCAATAGAATTCAAACGATAAGGAATTTATATAACATTTAGATTGAATTTGTACTTTCACTTACCTAGATTTCTAATACCTAGTTCCACCATAAATACTGTTACAAAAGTTGAACTTTGCTTAACTTTCGTGTTATTTAGATAATCCTTGGTTTTCAAGGGAAATACACATTTTGAGGTGCTCTGAGTCTAAATAAGGAAATTAAATGAAATTTACTAACTAAATGTAAACGAACAGCTAAAACATACAAAATACATACATAGATTAAAGATATATTAATGACAGAAGATGAGCAACAGGATCACAATATTGTATTATCCCAGCATAAGAGATACAAAATAAGAATAAATAGATAAATACAATGAGGAAGGGGCATTTAATTCATTTTATGAGAAAACAATGCGACAAAAAAAAAAACAGTTAAAGAAAATAAATTAATTATATATGTTATACAATTTGCAATGGTATTGTAAACTATAAAAAAACAAGGAGATTAAGATAGGAAAAGATATATATGTATACATAACTGTAAGAAATGAAATACATCTAAAATATAAACAATCTTGTAGATGGAAAAAAACAATATCTTATCTTTTTTGCATCACCTCACAGTGCTATGCCAAAAGTGATACTGATTCTTTCCAATTCATAAATAATGAACAAAGAATAAAATAAAATAATGGTGTATGAAAAGAAAGAAAAAAAAATTATCCTTGTTCCATAATACATAATTAACCATCATAATTGTGAAGAGGAATTGGAATAAGATGGTTTTGAATGTGGATAAAGTTGGCATATGGTGGATTTTAAGTGGGATGGAATTCCAAAAGGTCGTGGAGTGGGCAATAAAGTATTGTCTTCTTAAGGAGGAGAAGAGCCACCCTAACTGGGCGTAGTAGTCAGAAACACGGGAACATCTCGTGGTCCCTTCGACAAATCTTACTAAGCTATTCATAATTCTTTTTAGTCTGTCCTTGAGATGTATATATTTATATGTTGTAAAATAAAAGTGTTTTGTTATTATTACGTTAATTTTTGTCTATTTCAATTTCCATAAATATGAATACGAAGATTGGTATTATCAGTATCAGAATTATCAGCGTTCAGGTTATAAACATTGGCAGATAACAGTCTGTCCCAACCACCCGAGACACAAGTACTCTTTATTTAATTAGATTCATCAAATTATAAATATATTGAATTATTTTAATCTAAATGACATTGAGATGAAGGGAAAAATATAGTAAACAAAATACAAAATTACTCATCTTTTGTTCTATTTCTATATGTTTCTGCATAGTTTATTTTATTTGTCTATAAAAGTAATGTTAATATAAAAGTAATTAAGCTAAATATTTTTGCTCCAAGATGATAAGGTTAAACATAAAAAAATCGATATATCAAATTACTATTTCAGTTTATATTCAAGTATTGATTTTTTATATTTACTTCCATTTTTAACTAGAATTGCACATTCTGCGTGAGAATGGCATGTAACTTAAAATACATATTAAGGATTCTAAAAATGCAATATCGGAAAAAAGGTTTTTTTTTTTCATCTATGGTCACCCTTTTTCTAGCAAATGCCCTAATTAGTCTGACTGCTGAATTTTTGAATACAACAAAAGTGATGTTATTTTAATTATAATTTATAAAACTTAAAACCTGAAACTCAGTGCTTTATGAACACCTGTTGATTTTAATATTTCTTAGGATTGCCGATAACATTTTAAATTGTAGGTAAGAGTGAACACTGGATAGTTTAGCCCATTAAAGTTAGGATATTAATAGAATGTTACTGATTTGTTAAAAAAATTATTTTATTCTGACTAAAATATTTTTTATTTTACTTAAAGAACCATTTTTCAATCTGAAATATGTTATGGTGTAATTATCAAAATTAAGTAATAATTTATTTAAATCTATCTTTAATCACTAGTATGGTCGGTTAAAATGAAATATTTTATAATTTATTAAATATGAATGGTTTAATCAAAGGAATCCATTGACTTTATATATTTTAACATTTTTTTTTTAACTATATAAATAAGTTATGAATGTGTTAATAATGAAAAATATAACAAATTTCAGTTTCCCGATGAAGAGCTGATGGATGGTTTCCAACAGGTGAAGTATACCCCTGCAATCTATACCCATTGCTACGATTACTCAGGTACGAGGCTTTTTACTGCTGGTGGTCCGCTTCCTGCTAATATATATGGTAATTATGCAGGCCTATGGCAGTGATGTCAGTGTCATATAGCTGTTTAGGTGTGTGATACGTTTTTTGTTGCAAAAGAATACGAGAATTACGTATAAATATATGTGAAAATACATTTCAAGATGTATATCATCCTCTGTGTTAAATATAGCTAAAAGAAGTATGAAATCTTTATTATATTTTAGCTAGGTATTTTTTTGACTTTATGAAATATTATTGCTATTAGAATTTGTGTTTCGTTTAGGTTTTATAAAAAATAAAATTTGCTGCATAATTTATAATTAAAAAAAAAATCATTTATTAAATTATTATTGGCTGTTTTTTGTTATTAAATTGAAATATTTATAATAATTGGACATTTGCAATATATAGATTGGGTTTTATATCTGTTGTTTTTAAGTTTCATATTTTGTAGGAAGCGCAACATTTCTTCTATTTTCTTTTTTTTTTTTCCTCTTAGTTTCTTGTAAATATTTTATATATATAATAGGCCAGGGATAGAAATTAGTATTTTTTATAATCATGAAACTTTATGTGATATTAATTACAATATATTTTAGAATTTTAGCTATCATTTTTCTGTATTTTAGTCATAGGTATGAATGAATTATTTTATAATTTTATTTATTGTTAAATTTATTTTTACTTTTTCTTTAAAAAAATTTAAATGAATTTCTAGTTGCAATATCGTATGATATTGTGCTCTTTAATTTTTAAAAGTAAAGTGACTACCTCTTTATTATTAATCGGCAATTATTGATTAAGCTCATACCCATATTTTTGAAATAATCTTGTGGCTTTAGCCTAACTTTCCTATTTTATTTTATTTTTATGATAGAATGTTAATAATTTCCATACATTTTGTAAATAACTCTGTACAAAATTACTTGTAGAATTGAAATAATTATTTAATGACTTTTAGGAATTTTTAAAATGAATCTTTTTGTCATATTTAAACCATAAATGTAAACTATAGAAACAATTTAAAGAAGAGAGCTATGGCTACCTTTTTATAAAGATATAGATTGTACAATATTGTATACACTCACTCATGAAAAAATATTTGATGAATGGATTTCCTAATCACTATTGACAATGAAAAAAATCATATGTGTGTGTGTTTACATAAATGTGCCTTTCAGTTGACAGAATGACTAACAGCAATTTCAATATTTTCGAGTCATTGTAGTGATATTTCTAGTTGGAAAATTTATAATAACTGTACAGACATTGAGTAAGTTAAATCCAGAGTAAGTGATTGCAGTGTTGAAATTTAGAACTGTGAATAAAGGTTTTACATTTTCTCACTAGAAATATCAATAAAATTAATAACAAAAAATGTTAAAATTGGAGTTAGTCATTCTGTCAACTAAAAGGCTCATAAATCAATCTGCACTTCTACATGCAACGAAGGGTCTTGGGTTCATCTCTAAATAAGGGCATACTGTCCCTATCCTTATCCTACTAATCCCTCCCATGTAATATTTATGGAGGATTGTTTGTCAAATCTGAAGTTCTTGTTTCAAAGTTTAATTCCACATAAAATATTTTTTCAATCTTAAATGAGAGCTTAGAATGTTTATAATTTTTTTAAAATTCGTTTTTGAATAAGCTCTTCTGGAGTTCTTATGTTTGCTGAATCTGAATTTAAGTATGCCAAATGATGCATGTCAGTTTAAGTTGAAATCACTAACACTTTCTATCTTCCAATTATCTATAAAAAAATTTAAATTTAATTGTTTCTTGACCAATTGTTATAGAAGGGTGTATTCAGTAACCATACTTCACTGCCAGATTTATCCTTAACCTTTTAGATGCACAAAGCCAATATAATGGCCTTCGAATGGTGGCCCCTGGTACGCAGAGCCAATATATTGGCTTCAGCATTTTATCATTTAACTGCACAAAACCAATACTTCGGCTCGGGCTCTCTACCAGACATCCCCTGAGTCATATGTTGTTGCTGAAACCAGTAGATAGTGTAAGATGTATTATTTAGTCCCGTGTATATCAGCTACCACCTCTTTTTTCACCTTTTCTAGTATTTTGTACATAGTTTAGCTTAGCTCTAAAACTGACCGCAGTTGGTAGTGTTTTGAAGTGCGGAAGTTGAAAATGAGTTTTAAATCTCAAAACAAATTTTTTTTCAAGTATAATTTTTTTTTCTACGATTAAAGTAATAAATAATAATAATAAAAGGCTTAGCGAACCTGAAGATTCGATGCCGACACCACTAATCGCCTATTACATACCTCCCTCCACTGTTCGACATCCAAATCTAGTCCCTTCAGATCAGCTATCCCACCTTCACTTCGGTCTACCCCTCGGATGTACAGCAAATATTAACCTTTTAGGAATTCCCTCGTTACTAAGCCCAACAATTTTACAATCCCATTTCATTTGCCGGGATGAAATCACCTCAATTATATTACCCAGAAACAGTTCACGCAATTCGGCGTTGTGTAACCGTCTGAACTCTCCAGTTAATTCATCCTTCGGTCCGAATATTCTATGCAATACTTTATTTTCAAAAACCTAATGTAAGGGGCCATGTTTCGCATCCATAAAGAACTGTAGGTAAGATAATGGTTTTATAGATTCTAATTTTTAAGTTCCAGGACAAGAGGTGCGAGCTAAGTAGTTTTGTCACAGAAAAATAACAAGCATTTCCTGCCTTCAGTCTAACCTTAATCTCTTCTTCAATTTCGTTTTTTCTATTTATCATAGATCCTAGATACTTAAACTTCTCTACCTGTTCACACATATATTTTATCTTATCTGTGTTTATTTTGAGCCCTAGTTCTTTACTGCCATTCATTAACGTTGTCATATTTAGTTTTATAATTTCCACATCTTCGCTTAACAGTGCCAGATCATCCACATAGCCCAGCACGGGTGTTGTCCCACCCAGATCCAACCCTTTTTCGGTACGCATTACCTCCCTAATGGCATGTTCTAATGCCAAATTTAAGAGGACAGGCGAAAGGGAATCTCCCCCTGTTTTAAACTCGAACAAACCTCAAACTTTTCGGACAGATTATTACCGATTCTAACTTTATTGAGTGTTTCCGTCAAGCACATCCTGACTAGATTTACTAGTTTTTTTTGGAATCCCCTGCTCGATTAGAATATTATACAGTTTCTGATGATCAATGGAATCGTAAGCCTTTTTGAAATCAATATACAGCTGATGAATAATACCGTTGTACTCCAATTTTTTCTATAATATTTGCCATAAAGAAAATATTTGATCATTAGTCGAACGATTCCGTCTAAATCTGCATTGGTAATCTCCAATAATTTCCTCGGTGTATTCCGTGATTCTACTAGTTAAGATTAAAGTGAATATTTTATACCATACTGGATGGAGTGAAATTCCTCGATAGTTATTACAATCCGTCCTCGGACCCTTTTTGCAAATCACAATAAAAATAGATTCTTTCCATTTTTCAGTTAATTTCTCATTCTCGATCACAGTATATGTAATAAAATTTACCATACAATGAAACATTTTTTAAATTTTTCCATATCAGAGATTGGTTAATAAAATAAATAAAAAAGTTCAAATTAAGAATGAAAAAAAAAGATATTATATGCCCCATTTGCAGAGAGAGAAGTTGGAAAATATCAAGCAGGTTTCAGAGGTAGGAGATCTACAATTGATCAAATGTTCAGTCTTCGGATGATACTAGAGAAGTTCCATGAGTATCGGATGACAACTCACAATCTCTTTGTCAATTTTCGGAGAGCCCA